TTCTGCGTCCATGCCACAAAACCACCAACTGCTTTGAGTATCATCAATGATGGTTTTATGCTTTCTTTCTACACTGTTTGCAGAAAATGTTACCTAAAGCTCTGAATATAAACCGCACGTGAGGCCCAATTAGTTATTTCTTTCACTTGGCAAACTTGCCCCCACTGTGTTTGAGACAAAATTGGCTGCTAAGTTTGAAGTCACCTTCTTTTAGTTGGACTGGTATTAGGTGCCTTAGTAAGCAGTTAGAAGGTGGCCGTCTTTCTCCTAGGCAGCTAGGTAAAGGTGCCCTGATAGGTTTTCCCTTTGGGGTGAATGCATTTGCAAAGAGTGCTTCAGAGCAGATACCTGAAAAGGCTGCAGGGTTAGAATTTCTATGGCTCTTTAACAGCAGAATCCAGCAGGACTCAGGGTAAAGTACCATGGGACTCAGAATTCAGGGTAGGTATTAACAAGAAGTCCCCTCTCGATCTTGCAGTGCTCAATGTCTCAATTTTAGAATGGTTTTGAGAACAAGTAGTAGAAACTGCTCATCACATCCTCTGTTCAGGGCATTATTTTGTTTTGTTTTTTGGTTTTTTGAGACAGGCTCTCACTAGGTAGTTGAGACTGAACTGGAACTCACCATGTAGCCCAGGTTGGTCTCAAACTCAGAGCGATCCTCCTGCCTCAGCCTCCCAAGTGCTGGGATTACAGGTGTGCGCCACCATGCCTGGCTCAGGTCATTATTTTGAAAAGTGAGAAATAAAGATAAAATCACCATCATCCAGGGGAGGAAAATACAGGAGTGAAATGTAGAATCAGAGTGAAAGGCTTTGATTTTTCCTTTCCAATCAACAATAGGAAATGCCAGAAATGTGTCTAATTTTTAAAAAGATGTTATCTGTAAGAGTGGATTAAATTTCCAACAAAGTTAAAGTTCCCACGTGCCCCCTGCTCCCAACTAGATTCTCTCACCATCCATGTCCCACACCCCTGTAGTTCGCTTATTAGCAAACATTCAACCAAAGCCTACAGATTTTAAAATTTCCGGCGTGAAGCCAGGATCTGAGGTGGCAGTGCAGGCCAGGCCCTCGAGCTGCCACCTCACTCCCCCTTCCCCACTTACTGAGGGGCCTTTACCACTGAGCCAGGGAGGACCAGTTTGAAAATGACAGGCAGCTGACATGGCTTTATTCCTTACTAAGAAAAAATTTGTTATTCTTTCAGAGACCTGCTCACAGAGGCAGAACAGCCAATTCTGATCAACCCAGTTAGCATCACCCCAGCTTCCCTTCTTGCTCTGGCCCACATCATCTTCCTTACCTCACTCTATCTGTTCCTTTTTACATAGTTTATTAATTTTTAAAGCCTTACATCATTTACTTATTAGCCTCATGTCTCCAACAAAAGGCCTATCTGCTCTGTTCTTAGTCACTGACAGAGCCCGATTACTTAGCACAGCGGCCAGACACAGCAGACCCTTCGGGTGAGAACACTTTCTGAAGCACAGGACGTTAGGGGGTGAGTTTTACAAATGGTTTAGGACGCTCAAAGGGCCATGACTGACCAGGTACAGTAAGGCCAACCATAGAGGGAAAGGTGCTTTGGCTCCCTAAACTGCTGGACCCCTCTGGGGGACTCTAAGAGACCAACGTGGCCACTCTACCACGTGAGCAGTCTGGAGGGCTCTGTGAGCCGAGAGACATGATGTCCCTAACTCCACTGTGATCACACAAGCTCACACACGGCCTGGACACAGGACAGGGAGAGCACAGTTGCTCCTGGCTTTATGCAGCTTGGAAGGAGGCATGAGATGCAGAGTCAGAGGCATCTCCACATGGGGTCAGAGACGCGTGGTGAGCCCGGGACACTGGGCACCAGTTCCCCTGCTCCTTTCCACTCACACACGTTCTGCTGCTGCTGAACACACCAGACTCTGAGGCAGCTGGTGGACATGGCGATCAGCATCTTTCATGTGAATCAGATTCCGCAATAAAAAACTGGGAGACAATAGCAGAGCAGAGGGATTGTGAATTTTTAAACCAATGGATAAGTCCAAATGAGTAAATAAAATAGGCAGTGAGCTGAGTGAAAGAAGCCAAACGTTCCCTTAATTTGTACACAGGAGACAGAATCTCTGGATGAGAAGGTGGGGGCAGAGACAAGCTTCGACTGAGAGACACAGGCAGGTACAGAGCAGAAAGTCAGTCAAAGAAAATGCTGTTCCCCTGTGGTTTTCTAGCACCTGACTCTGAGATTTGTGGAAATAAAATGGGCATTATATTACAGTACGTGGTACGTGATAAAACACAACTATGCCACATTATGTAAACAAACATAATAATGTGGCCTACGTACTCTATTTACCTACGTATCCCTGACTCTCCCCTGGAAGACTGGCTCCAGGTGGACCAGAACTGTGTGTGTTTCACCCAGGGTACAATGCCTGGCACCACACAGACACTCGGTAAACATTTCAGTAAATGACTAAGTGATAAAGACTTGTTCACCTATCTACTTCTTCCCACGCTACTGGAACGCTGATACCACCCTCCTCTTTTAGTACTGGGGATGGCATCCAGGAAGCCCTAAGCTATAACGTCAGCCTGCTTCTGTTTTGAGACAGGGTCTCTCGCTAAACTGCCAAGGCTGGTCTTAAATTTGTGGCCCTCCTGCCTCAGCCTCAAGTTTCTGGGATAACGAGAGTGCACCACCACGGCCAGCTTAACGCTATGCTTTATCTCGTGTGGGAGAACCAGGGTGTTTCTCCCCAACCCCACCCCAGGTACCAGAAACAGGGGAGGGAATCCCCGGCGTCACTTCAGATCTCTCCTTTACAAACTGTACCTTGTACTGTGGTTTAATAACTATAACCAGAGACTGAGACCCGCCCAAGCCACATGGAATCAGGGAAGGACTCCCCTTTTGTAAGTTATGTTGGGTTCAACCCTGCCTGGAACCCGTCGCCAACCTGGCTTCAGCTGCTTTCACAAGTTCGGAAGATTACTGGTGGGTGGGCAAGAGACAGTGCCCAGCACCTTGTCGGTTTTTAGCTTCCACCTAGATCCTGATCACAGGTGGGTTTTGTCCGACACCACAGCCAGGGCTGGCATCCGGACACAGTACCACTGCCATAAATTTCGGACTAAGTCTGACGAAAGAAAAGTTGGACCTGATTAGCATAATGAATTAATCACCCCCTCCATGAAGTGCTTGCAGAACTTAAGAGAGAGAATAATATGGCTAACAGATTTCTTGATAGTCTATCCTATATCTATGTAATATGCTAAATTACCTGTTCTACTACTTCTAAATAGGTTCAGTTTTGGGAATCTGAACGTATGAAACAAGTGCCAAAGAGATACTATCCTCACTAGGGATGGTAATTTGCAAAGGATGAGAAGGTTTCTAAACATATACTTTGAAATTCAGGTCTTTGCCGAGTAAATGACCAATAAAAAACAGAGCTGCAACTAAATTAGAGTGGTTAGGTAACCTCGAGTCACATAAATCATGTTTCAAAAGGTGCAGAAGTAACAAAAATCGTAAATACAAAAGGCAAGATAATTGTGGTATGATATACTGGTATTTGGTGTATTGTTCTGGAACCACAGATTTCATCAGTGAGCCCTCAGAGGACATGTTTTTTCTCAGTACAGTTTTGCTTGTCATAAGCATCAGCAGTTTTAACCGGGGCCATTTCTTAGTGAAGAAGTCTTCACTACCTATCAGTGGAGCAGCAAACACGCACCTTTCTGGAAAGTGGGGAGTCCGCAAATGAGATCTGTTGGGGATGCGATGGGCTAGCACCGACTGTCTCAGCCGGGGAAACTGCTCTCTAGGAGAACGTGTGCTCAGGCAGTGTCTTTTCTAAAAGCTCCAGTCTCCAAGCTCTAAATATAAACTTAGCAGAAAATGAAAACCGGGGAAGCATGGATTCCTAGTAAATCCCTCATCGCCCACGTTATTACAATGCCTTCCATCATTTCCCAACTGCTGATTCCTTCCCAACCCCTCAATCTGTCTGCTCAGACTCCACCCTGCACTATCGCGCTCCCGTCTGAAGCCAAATCTGCCCTCCATGTTTTGTCTGCTGAGCAGGAGAGCAATTTCAGCAATCTCCTGCTTTTCATAAGACCGGTTTATTCCTCCCAATATCATAATTGGTTTCAGCTGAACCCGGTCACCAGTCATCGGCGAGGTTCCATCATGACCCTAGCAGGGAGAGCAGATACTTCCTCTTGCAGTATTTTTTAGAAGAATCTGGGTACTGTCTTAGGCCTGGAACAGAATGCTTGCAGTGCACGTATTTAAAATACAACATGTTTCAGTAACCTACTCACTCAAGATGGACTGAAATTATGACTGTGGGAATCTTCTCAGTTTGCTTTATGTAAGGTTCACGTGAATTATTCCTCAATTCATCAAACTACACCAAGTCATCAAGAACAGAAATCTTGTGAAAATAACCAGCACTGTATCTCTGTAAACATGTTACCTTAACATTTTACAACTTGCTCATAAAAACTGATGAGTAAGAAAATACCCTAGTGTAGAGGTTTATCAGAGGAGTTATGTCTAGGAAATCTCTGTTCACACTGGTACAGAGAAATCAAGCAAGACTTCATTTTTTATAGACAGAAAGATCAAAATGATGAAGTACAACCCAGACAGGCAGGCTCTCCAGTCGCTCATGGAAGGTGCCATGGTTTAAGTTTCTAAGGTGCACCTACAATCAATCATCAGCCCATCCTTATTTTGGCTCATTAATGATTGGTACCAGTAATGGAACCACCTGTGATTATTTTCATCATGGTGACCTGGGTTATCCCACTTGTAAATCCAAACAACCCCTGAGCTATGCTTTCCGGCAAGCGTCACCAGGATACATACAATCTTTGAAGTTGTGAATTATGATACCTCTTAGCATCTTAAGAGTCTTTGTCTGTTTGAATAGGAAGCAACCTCCTCTCTGCTCTATCACACAATAAAGCTTTGATTTCCTGTGATTATCTTACCTTCACATGTGCGGCTCTCTGCGGAGATGGAGAAACCTTGCTCGCAGACACAGTGGAAAGAACCGTCCGTGTTGAGACACTCCCCGTGAGGACCACAGAGCCCTGGCTGCTCACACTCATTAATATCTGCAATTTGAAACAGAGCTTCAGACATGTTTTCATACAATAGCAGGCATGAGAAAATCTAGTACAGAGCGACTAGGCATGTGTTTTGTGGCCCAGTCGTATCATTCGTCCATTAAGAGACCACAGGATGAGGGGAACCATCAGGAGAAACCATTTGGGTAACCCATACGAAAACGCCAATGTCCAAACAGCTCAACCAACAAAGTGTCCAGTTTAAGCTTCACCTCAAACTATCCCTGTCTTGGACATACAGTTCAGCGCCTTGAGGAACGAACACTCACAGACAGCTCTGAGAAATGCGCCTCCTCCAACAGGATGCTGCGCTCACCTCCGTCCTCCCCACTGTCCCATTTACAATTCTCTATAGCCTGCAACGTGGGCTGCTTATGGGCAAAACCAGACACGTCTTATGTGTAGTACTTGGCTCGTACATGTCTCTACATACATAATTATGTCAACTCCCATGTACGTGTCATTGGAAACGGGTAACAGGAATAAAACACAAGAACAAGAAGGTCTTTCAAACCGGAGAAGTTCTTATTTGCATGGCTTTGTGATGGTGAAATTAATAAATGAGGTCAAATGTTTAGAGTGGTGCTTAACGCACAACTAAAGGTCACAAAGCGTTAGCTATTCTCATGAAGACTCACGAACACACAGATAACACAGTAGGTAAACTGTAGTGAGCATCTTATGTTCTCCTTGTCCTTGTGAAATATGCTTCCCACAGCCAGGGAGACAAGACCCTGCTAAACCCTGACAACATGCGCAGTGTCTGCTGTGAGAAAAATGTTCTTTCCCACCAGTTCCAGCTGTGTGGGCACACGATGACCACACGGAACCTAGAGGGTCCTGCCTGGTCACACTGTGTTTTAACTGCTCGCTTTCTTACCGAGCTCCACACTATTCAGTTTACTGCCTGAGAGCGAGGGCTGCGTGCTTCACCACAGAGTTCCTGACCCTTGGTACTGTACATTGGTAGTGCCTTATGAATATCCATTTCCCACAAAATTTGTCAGTTACGCTTATTTTTCTACTAGCCTAACAGTGATTAAGGTTCCCTTTGTCAAAAGGAATGATAAAAGTAAATAATCACATGCCTTCACCACCATCAAAGCAGTAGCTCCACTAAGATCACTGTCCTGTCTTCCTAAAGTCTCTCAGGTCCTCTTTAATCTCTTACCAAAGAAGTCGTTACTATATCCTCTCAGGAGTTTATCCTTAACGTCAATTAAAATGTTTTTTGATGCTCTCTATAAATAGGATGGGGCCTTTACCATTATGAAGTTCATAATAGAATAGAGGAGGTACATGAATAACTGCAAAGTTGAGTAAGAATCTGGAAAATGTACAGACTGTGAGTTCTTCTTAGTGACTTCTAGCACTGACTGAACCACAGACCCGAGGTTCTCTTCCTCAGTAAAGCCAACCCTTTCTGTGCAAGCTCTCCTTCTTGTCCTGCTGATTTCATTGTGCAACAGAAATTCTTGGAATTACTGATTCCACATCCTTTAGTAATCCCAAACTTTCATCCTTTTGTCTGCCATATAATTCAGTCTACTTCTGGGCTATTAAATGCTGAACCAAAATAAGAAATCGAGCAGGAATTTGTCATATTTCTTAACAATTCTCTTATTTTTGTTACCATCAGTACATTTCAGATATTTCAAGGAAGAGCAATGGATCTTATTCTACTGATCTATTTCTCAAGATGATTTCACTCTATGAAATTCTTCACTTATCTTATAAATTGGACATTTCTGTGTTTTTATTCTTTATCTGTTGATAATACACTAGATGACACATCCGAATTTTGATAGCCTCTTAACCTTCAGTTCCACACTTGCCTTCCAATCTGCTGCCCAGAATTATCCCTATCTGGTCAAGAAGTTGGCCACGAAGTTCAGTGGCCTGATGATCTGACTCGTGTCCATAGGCATCCACCCCTGGTTTCTTCCCAAGACTTCCTTCTTATTTTATTGAATAAGGCCTCAATGTGGCCTTCTCAAAGCTACCTGCTTTGCAACTTACACAACTGTGCACAAAATTAATGCTTCAAAAGAAGTTACGTATTAATAAATAATAGTCTGAAAAGTTTGAGGACAGGAACTGAAGACAAATTCCCAGACTTTTTTTTCCAGAAAACTGCTAAAAAGAACAAAATGAATACCTGGAACTAGAGGAACATATGTATTCAACTTGGATTGTACTTATTGAGGCATTTCTAAACTATGCTGCTAGTAACTCTGAGGTGAAAGCGAGGCTATATTTAAGTTGGGTCTCTTTCATGGGTCCAAGATTCCACAGAAATTCACAGTTTGGCACGTATAATTCAAAATGTGAAAAAGAAATGCGTTCTGAATCTCAAATGTATCCTGCCACATTCCTAAGAGACTATTACCATGGCATTTCCACGCTGTGTGCACATCATCATTAGTTTTGCAGGGTGAAGAGAACCTTAAAACACGCTTCCAACTGAAAATGCCTGGTTGAATATGGATCTTCAAAATACTAGGTAAGGTTTAAAGTTTAGGGTCATCATACAGTTACCAAATATATCCCACGGTTATTAGCACCAGTTATCAACTCAGCAACAGAACAGAGTTGGGAATCGGTGCCTCTCTATCGAATGCCAGCATGATCGCCAGATTAAAGAACAGCAGGACGCTCAGTTCTGGCAGAATGAAAGATCAAAGCTGCCTCCAGGGGCAGATTAAAAAGTGATCATTCAGGGCTAGGGATTTAACTCAGTGGCATTGCATCTGCCTTGCAAGCACAAGGTCCTGAGTTCCATACCCAGTACAAAAAAAAAAAAGTGATCATTCAATGCAAGCTAAGCATGTAAGTGATACAAAAACCTCCTGTGATATAAGAAAATGAGTGATGAGAAAGATTCGTACACATCATTCTTTAAACGGGGCTAAGACCTGTTCCAGAAATGCCTGCCATTTACTTGGACCTACATTTTTCAGACAGACATTAATTTATTCTGAAAGCAGGAATAAATATGACAGAGAATGCAATCAGTTTAGAATGACTGACAGTCAGTAAAACCCTAGTTATCTGGTGCTGTCACACATTTGAGAGTTGATACCAAGTCACACAAATAATTTTAATATATGGAGAGAAACAGTGCAATGAATAAATCAGATGACCAAATTCTGGGTGTTATAACTCTAATAGCTAAATTATAAAATTTGTGCTATGACACCTTGGTCAATTTATACTGACTTAGCGTTGCCCATATTTGACAAAAATGAATTAGAAAGGAAAATATCACTTGTAAGCCAAAAAGTCTGTGATAAAAAACAGTATTCAGGTTTTTTGTTTGTACCTCATAACATTTTTGCATAAATAAAGCTCATTTTGTTTAAAGTTACCAAATGAAAACTTCCTCACATAAATATATGCTTACTCCTTCTCTCCCACATCACATCCAAGCGTATTTTATATCAGCACTGGAAATATTAAAACAATTAAATTCACTAATTGCACTGCGGTTGCAAATAAATGTATCACATGAAGCATACAGTCCAGTGTAAATACTGGAATTAGTAAAGGAACTACTTCTAAGACTTTGACACAAAGGTTTCTTATATCTCTGTGACACACATCTGGATATGAACAGTGACACAGATATAAAGCACAACTTTATTCTAACAACACATCTTAGAGAGTAAAATGCATCTTCTGTAAGAATATTGGTAAGCGGAACATGGCCAGGAGATATACTGTGTGGCAAACCCAGAATTTGAAAAATCCAGACGTGTGGAGGTGCACACGTGTAATTCCAACACTCTGGAAAGCCGGAACAAGAGGATCACAAGCTTGAGCCCAGTCTGGGCAGCTTAGAGACACAGCCGGACCCTGTAGTGAGTTTTGGTTAACAAAGTACTGTGCAAAGCAAGGCCTCCCTGTGCCTGAGGCAGACCCCCAAAAGGACACTTTAGTAATACTTTAGTAAGGGCATAGTTTATTGATATAGAAAGCAAAGTGGTAAAGTTGCAGCCAGGAAGAACTGCACAATTTAAGAACAGTGTAAACAGTGACTGAGGACGAGGAGAGACAGAAGTACCTTGACATCCTTTCTTGTCATTTAGCTGAAATCCGTCTGGACAGGCACAATCATAGGACCCATCAGCATTGATGCAGTCTCCTCCCTGGCACACGCTATTGTCCTCCAAGCATTCGTTGATATCTACAAGCCAATTTTTAAAAATTTTAAAGACTTAGTAAACGACATATAAAAAAATTCAGAACCTTTCTCTGCAGTCACATGACCCCCAAATTAGTCTCATTCTTTCGTCTTTGTACGTGGGAGAAACAGTTGTTCAAAAAGCTCAAACTGTATTAATAAAAAGGTTACAAAATCTTAAATGACTTTGTAAGTCCAAAACAGTTTAACTTAAGAACTGTTATAAAATATAATCATTCAACAAAAGAAAAGACTGACTTTGGGTTCATGCGAATGTAGAGAGGGTTTCCCGTAACAGAAAGAACTGAAGTCCCGACAGCCGGTGAGAACACGGGGCGGCCAAGAAGTGTCTCAGAGCAAGGGAAACCAGCAGGGTCAAAAGCCCTGTAAGTTGCTCACCAGCTGTCACAAACGGGTTTGTTTGCCCAGGTTTGTTCTAGTATATATTCTTATGGAGCGTGTGCTGGGAAAGCGGCTTGCTTAACCAATACCCAACTGGCTGTGAGCATGCGAGAGGATTAATGAGGCCCCTAGGTCAGAAGTCTCAAGGGCTGTTTGTTACCACATTGAGCTCATCACTCCCAAAACACTCCAAGAGTCCCAGTTCTAGTGTGTGTCTTGTGCAGGATTTACATAATTAGCATTGCAGAAAGCTGAGGAACAAAACTTCCTTTGTTTCCTCAGAACTTGGCATTTTAAGGCATTTCTTACAAGTATGATTGCTGCTGAAATACATGTGAGGTTCCAGGAGGAAGGGACTAGGGAGACTAGACTGCTGGGGTCCCTCATTCTCCCTGCTGTCTGGTCCCAGTACAGGAGTACTGAATTGAACTTTCCTCACTGAACCCAACCAACCAAGGGGCAAAGAGAAAATAGAGCGCCTGTCCTTTCACTCTGTCAAAACAAAAACAAGGTGACATGATGACTGGTCACCCAGATTTAAAATGTTCTGAACAGTGACCCTAAAGCAAAAAACAATAGTGGATGTGACAGCGAGTTACTGCTTTTTCTTCACTGTGTATTTCCAGTTTCACTGAAGCACAACGTACCTAGAATAAACGCATTTAAGAGTCCAGTTCAATATATTTTAACAACTATATGCACAGCCTCGTGGCCACCAGTCACAGTAAAGGTGTGGGACACCAGCAGGGTCCTGTGGGCCCCTTTGTGTTTGGCTTCTTGGTTTCATCCAACTTGTTGAATGGACCTGGACGATCAATACCTTTCCCTTCTTCATTGATGAGTAGTATTTCACTACTACATTGTGCTTATACCTCACCTTTGGATGAGGATTTGGCTTGCTTTCATTTTGGCTACTAGGAGTAACAATCTTAGAAGCATCATGTGCATGTCTTTGTGAAACATACTTTCACTTTCCTTAAGCAAACATGGAAACAGAACGGCTGAGTCCTACAACAGGTTTGCACCCAATTAATAAAAAGGTATTAGTGCATGTTTCTAGTACATTACACTCATCACAGGGTATCGGTACTTATACATACCACATCCTCATCCTTTTTACTTTCTCCCTCCTCCTCCCTCCCATCCCTCCCCATGCCCAGCCCTTTCCTATCTCTATAAAGTCCACCATCCTGTTTCCCATCTTCTTTCTTCTATTTCTCCCTTTAAATTCTCATATAAGAGAAACCATGCAATACTTATATTTAACTTTGTATATCTGATTTATATCATTCAGCATTACTGTTTTGGGATTCCCTTCATTGGAATGTTCATTTTAGGCACTGAAAACTGAACATGCTCATGTAAAGCTCCTCATCTCGTCCACACAGCCTGCTTCCTTGGGGCTTCTGCACCTGCTAGTCTCCTGAAAGCAATGTTTGTTCCAAATTAATCAAAGGTTATTGAATCAAGACGCCTATATTTACCTTCTTTCTAAAGTCACCACCCTCTCTCAGCACTCCCTGTATATTTCCACTTAAATAACTTACTGCCATTTAACAAACTACTCATTTTACTTTTTTTTTTTTTAAATCGTGTTACTGCTATGGAGAACCTCAGCTCCAGGAAAGCAGCACTTTCTTTCTGTTTGGTTTATGCCCTGTGCCTCAAAGAGTACTAGGTACAAATTTAGCATTAAATATTTACTGAACAAACATATAAATGAATATGTGAAAGATTCTAACTTGGAAAGAAATACTATGACTTTTCCTCATTGTTTTTTTATTTTTTTCCACATAGAAATGTCCAAAAGTGCAGGGCCTCAGGAAAAGCAAGCAATCATCTAGTCAAGTGGAAGGAACCTCCAAGGGGCAACCACAGTAAGGGGAAGGGTTGAAGTAGCTGAAGGAATTAAAGACCAGTCAAGAAGGGACACTAGCCATGGCAGAGCCTGCAGAGCCTGAGAGCTGCGGACGACCAGGAAATGGGGCAGCCCAGTCAACATCCTTCTGAGATTGCGCACACCGGAGTCAGCAGCACGCAGCAACGGCGCCGCCCTTGGATTCTGACTGCAGAGCAGACCAGCAGGGTTGCAGGATGACCGCCCGGAAGCGGAGTCTTTGCCAGCATTAGTAGAGGAAGTTACACGTGTAAACAGAAAAGCCAACAAGAAGGATGTCATTCTCCCATCGCTGCGAGAGACACGCTAACAGACAGAGCTCACCTAATTACGGCAAAATACCTCTGGGGGGCAGGGAGACTGGACCAGGGGGTAATGAGCACGCTAAAGCACCAATGTGGGCCCCTCCGGTGCTCTGAACCATCTGGATGGACTCCAGCCCTGTTTATAACCCAACACACTAGGCAGTCGGTCCTGACTTTAACAGAAGGGGGCTTCAACATGTGTGTGTGTGTGTGTGTGTGTATGTGTGTGTGTGGTGTGTGTGTGTGTGTGTGTGTGTGTGTATATTCCAAAAGAAGCTTTCTTACGGAGCATAATTCTATCTTACAAACATAGATTTTCATAATGAAGAACGAGATGGCTAAAAAGTTTTTGCTTGGCTTTTCATGCAATGGCTGTTTTAAGAATGAAAAACCTTGGACTTCTGATAAGAAAGCAGCCAAAACAGAGGAGCACGTCCACGGTCGAGTATACAGTGCAAGGTGTAGTCTCAGTGGTCCAGATATTCTCATTTGGGCCAAGCACGAGAGCCCAGAGACACCCATGGCTGGTATATGCTTTCTACACCTTTGCATGTACATGCCCTGTACCCTCCCCCCGGCTTTCTTCAACAATTCGTCCTCTCGTGCTTGGCTCCCTGCAACACAACTGCCCCATCTGCCTCGGAATGCCAATTTGTTGGGTCATTCACACCTACACCTATGTTGCGAAGTCTCTCAAATGCAATTTTCTAGTCATAATACTACTTATCACTTGTTTGACCACTGTCCAATCTTCAATACACAGGTATCTTGATGATGACTTTTCATTCCTGTTATTAATCTCTGAGAATCATCATCACCTTAGGGAAAAATCCTAGAAGGTAAATTACTGGTTCAAAGACAATGCTCATTTGAAGGCCTTTGAAACTCTGCCAAAATTGCCCTGTTAAAGGGTTGGGTCATTTTACATTCCTAGTAGCAGCAAAGTACAGGTACTCCGCCACACAGGGACTGCTTATACCAAATTTTCTGGTTAATATACAACATGCTGCAAATGACAGTGGACTTTCCCCCAAACAATTGTCCGGGAGTAGAAAAGGATCTCCAAACATTGTAAGATGGGCCACAAAGTCATTCTCTAAAAAGCCCATTTACTTCCCTCACAAGCATAGTAGTTCAGACCCTCACTGGAAACCCAGCCTCTGCATGGTGGGTCATACTGCATCACTCCCAGAATTCCCATTCACAACTCGTAGGCAGCAAAGGAACAGGTAAGCCGGAAAAAAAATGGTTACTAGGGTGGACACTGAAGCCCAGGATCATTCACAGGCGATGGGCTGGGGGTAAAGGACAGAAAGAGCAGGTAGAAGAGAGTCCCTCTCCACACACAGGGCCCTTCTGGACCCAGACTCTAAAGACAGGTTCTGGGCCCAGGCAGGCAGAGGAAGTGGTTCATGATTGCACCCTGTTGTACGGATGAGGTGTCTACCTCACAGACACACTTGATACAAAAAGCTCAGCTCTCACACACCTCCCAGTTATCTGGCAAATGAAGCTGTTTTTACTTCTTTGGAATATTTGGAAGTCGGTCTTATATGAATGGCAGTTAGGGCTCAGAACTATGTACCCGGGATAAACCCTTAGCTGGTAAAGGTAAACTGATGTGTTACGCCTGTAGCTGGCACAATTCTAAAGGACAGCTACAAGCCAGGCAAAGAGAAACTGGACTCTACTCCTTCCTCTGCATTCTTTTTGTGACCTAGCACCCTCAACTGAGAAGTCAAAGGCAGAGCTCATGGACAGAGGTGCAGACGACACAGAGTGACCTGAGATTCTGGCGTTTGGTGATGCCGAGACCAGGAACAGCTCTCACCTGCACAGTGATCTCCAAGGGCAGATGCTCTGTAGCCCTGGTCGCACACACACTGGAAGGAGCCCTCTGTGTTCCTGCACTGGCCATGAGTGCAGAGGTGCCGGTGCTGGCATTCGTCAATATCTGCAGGAAAAAGAGCACAAGAGAATGGGAGGAGTAGTGAGTCACACACCCAATCACTCATGCGTACAAAAGAGACCTAGAAATCATGTAGTTTATAATTAAACTAGAATTCTCACTGTGTGATGCAAATCGACCAATGGGGAAAATCCAGGTGAACTTAAACTTATTTAACCAATGAGCCAGGAACCCGGATGCAGTAACCTCACCGTTCACCCACAGGTGGCAAATACTTTATTGTAATCCCCAACCTCACTCTTGGATCTTTCGTAGATTCCACTGTAAAGAACACACAGCCCTGTAATAGTCCGAGGCAAGGGCCAGCAAATCCAGCCCACTGCCTAGTACTGTAAATCAGTTTTACTGGGAAGTGGCACCTGATATTCACTATCTGGCCCTTTACTGTCTGCCTGCTCCTGATGTGAGCACCACAGCACACGTCTTCATTTCTCATTGATGAATTTATGCTTTGTCCATGTTCCGTATTCATTTGTTCACTCTGTCGCAATGATGATCTGGCCAAATGCAAAAGTCCTTCCTGTGCTCTCAGCGCATTTGCTGTTCCACACTTCCGCTGAGTCACCCTACACACACACACACACACACACACCCTCAATTTAGAGATCACTTGTTCTGCTTGCAGAACCCTGAGTTGGGGCTCACACACATACATATATCATATTCGCACAATGGTGGCACAAAACAGATGGCCTGTATCCATCATTAGATTTTAATAAACAGGCTTCCCTAAGGGCAGCAGCTGCTCTACCACACTCTTTATGACGCCCAGTGAGGAGGCAGTCTGGGTCTGCTTCCAGCTCGAGGACTCTGTAACATGTGACAGCACTGGTCTACTTCTGTCGGTGTGCTTCTGTGAGAGTCAGCGCACACACCAGCTGCCATGCGGACCCCGAATCCGTGCTCTCTCCACAGTGGTCACAGGATCAGTGTGATGTCACAGCCACCTGCCACCTAAAGTGGTTTTCCTCTGTCGGTAATCTGGTGGGCGGTTCTGGTTACATCTAATTTACCCTGGGCAGCAATATCCCAGGCTTTGCCGAAGAAAGGACGACGGCTAGGACAGCTTTACTCTATCACGTGTGCAAAGGTCTTATCCATTCACTTGTAGATTTTTACGCACAGTAGTAGGTATTTATTAAATACCGACATAACTACAATTAGAAGTCCTAAAGATAAAGACTTGGAAAGGGATTCATAAAAGCTAGGACAAGCTGATTCATTTATCTTTGTAAGTGCTTGTGTGTTTTACCATTCTCTACTTCTGGATTAGGAGCGGTTATAACATGTTCTGTCTTACAAAGGGATAACTAGGGGAGGTTACAACACTGGTAGATGCCTTTCTAGTTGTCATTAGATGTTCTCACTTCTGGGACACTATCTCAGGAGACTTTTTTTGCTCATTAAATATCAAAGATTAATACAGATATGGGTATGATTGATTTTCTTAAGACAGTTATTTGCAAGTAATATGAATTTTGTTCATAAATAAGAAATGTTTCTTTCTACTCTGGACACTTGTGGTTGTCACAGGGGGCATCATAATATCTTCAAGCTCATGAAACATAAATTAAGCACAAACTTACTGGGAGTAAAATATTTCCCTCTGAAATTCAATGAGATACTTCGTTAAAAAGTCAGCCCTATACTGGGCATGGTGGCACATGCCTATAATCCCAGAACTCAGGAGGCTGAGGCAGGAGGATCTCCACAAGTCTGAAGCCAACCTGAACTAGATAGCAACACCCTGTCTCAAAAAAATAAAACAAAACAAAAAAGGGCAACCTAGTAAGTTCAGAATCCTCACTCTCACCTATAGGAACAGAACACATTTCACAAATTTTATGTCTCTGAGATCTATTCCTGACAGCAAAGGGGGACACTATACCAGTCTTACTGGAATGTCTTTTTTAGAGGTATTAAAGGCAAACATTTTAAAAAGCTAAAAAGACAGAAAATTAAGATCATTACAATCTACAATTCCAGGACAATATAATTATCCTCTAATTGCTGAAATCCCAGTATGTCAAACCTTTAAATGAACTTACACGTTTACATGGAAACTGCTTTCTGTAGTAAAGAACTAGAGAGCAATGATTTTCCTTTTTAATACTAATGGTTAGGCACTGGTCACCCATGCTGTATTTTTCAAATTTAAATCTCTTCCATCTTCTTTTATAGACTGGCCTGACCCGTGTAAGTCCTTGGCTCTCTGGTAGTTGGGAGTGTGTAGAATGCACGCTCACTTTAATGAATGTACAGTTTTTCAGGTCAAGTCCCTTAAGCTGAAGCCTCAGTAGTTCATGCCGCCCATACCCTTACCTTCACACTGGTCTTTCGCTGCTGACAGCTGGTACCCTTGGCCACAGGTGCACCGGAAGGAGCCCTCTGTGTTCTTGCACAGTCCATTCATACACAGATTCCCTTGCTGACATTCATCGACGTCTGTTAACACGAACGATCATTATTTTAGGAGGGAGATGACCTAAGAGAGGGCTCTCCGCAATGCATCCTGGGATGACTATCGCTAAAATAACAGCACGTCTTCTGTGAGGCAGTATAAACTTGAGCACATACCAACCCGCTACTCTTCCTTGTATTAGCCACAGTATGCTTGGCTGTGGAAAAGAAGCTATTACAGACAATAAACTTCTAGGAAAAACTGATTTAAAACTCACCGCCTCTCTCTCATACTTTGGATAGAGCACAGACATACTGTATGAAATAGTTCAAAGTGGAAAACAGAAGACAGAACCTGAAGCATAAAATAGTGACAGTCAGAGAGTTCGCAGACCTGCTGAGGTGCATGACGCTCAAAATAGAACTAGCAAGAAGTTTTAAACACAAGTGAAAACATAGGCGATTACAGAAGGCAACTGACATTTCTACTTTATGCAGAAGCCGAACTGCAGGGTCGAAGAGTCACAGTGCAGAACACTGAGCTTCTTCCAAAGTATCAACTGAAAACCGAGAGAAATGTAGTACTGTGGCTGACGGAATGAACGCCAAAGGAAAAAGTGACAAACGAGGATTGTTTAAATGCCTTGACAGAAGATAAAGCTACTGGCTGAGAAAGAACATAGCTCTTACTAAGTGCTCTAAGAGATGTCAGGTGTATATATATATGCACAACTGGCTTCGTTGGCACTGCGGACATTTCTGGTAGGAGTTTTCCAGATGTCTCTGTTAGTCTGTTAGACTGGTCTGCTCTAATCAGAGAAGGCTGACTGGTCCTGTGGGTGCACAGAGTGCCTTCGTGTGTTCTGTTAAAATAACCAGTCAACTCATCAGAGTTGATGGTTACCAAAACATGGCAGTACTGCTCGTCACCAATTGTACCACAGATATTTTTGGTGAGGATTACAGCAGAGAGCAGATGTAAAACACACTAGCCTTCTGTTCACACCTGTCTACATGGAATCATAAATAAAATGAACACAGTGTGTTTTAAAGACCATGTCCTAAAGATCACTGTCTGTTTTCTTCTAAAAATATTGTGTTTTAAATGTCTCTAAGTTTTTGCCAGGACAACTCATTAACTGGTTAGTTAGTTCTCTCAATTATGTTTCCTAAATAAAGCTTCATTTCTTAACATCTACGGAGGCATTGTCTCAGTTTTATCCTGAGGTAAGCAAGGTGTCAAGTTATTTCATGTTCCCTGAAATAGCTTGCACAGATTATCAGTATAACTGAAGTTCAAGAACTTGCTTCTTTCTTAACTTTTCACAACATTTACTTATTTAACTAACTAGAAACTTTGGTTTATTTCACTGCTTGTGTTACTGGTCCCCTTTACTTGTACATAATTCCTGGCTGCCAACTATTGACTAACTGTAGAGAAAGTTAAAAATTATCCAAATTTCACCTTAAGAATTATTATACATCTTCCCATAGTTTAAGTCTATTAGCTTTATGAGTGGCTGCTACATACTTTCTTTCAGCACATTTTATAAAACATCTGAGGTGTCAGTTGACAAGCTTAAAACCAGCAATGGCTCTTGTAGCTCGTTGGTTTTCGCATGATGTTTGACAACATTTTTAGTATTTTGGACTCTTTCAGACTTTCTCTTAGAAGATGACAAGTTAAATATTCCCATGTGAAGATGTGTGCAGCAAGGACAGACCCTTCATTCCAAACGCTGGCTGGGCACGCCAGGCTTCTTACATAAGTTGCTCATTTGTGTCGGGAAGACTGTCAGAAGAAATCGGTTGTAAGTACTGACACATACACACTTGGAGGAACTTGAGGCCACGCAGTTATCTTGACCAAGAAAGTCTTTAAAATGACTAAGTGGAACAGAGGCAACTTATTTCTAGAAAACACTTTTCTTTTCCAATGAGGGACAGAATTCCTGAGAAGAAATCTCTCCAATAAAATAAATGTCTTTGTGCCAAGAGATAAATAGAAAACACTGACTTCCACGAAAGGTATTACTTTAAGGAAATTAGACATATATTTCTGTAACAAATTCAGCTCAGAGTTAAAATAGACTGACAATTTAGAGGAAATTTAGGACACATGGTGCTAAAATGCATAGATAAAATCACATCAAGGGAAATAAATACTCAATTAATACATTAGGTAAGGTGTTTGCTATCTGAAAAAATTTGTCAGTGCATTTAGTGAGGTGAAGACAAAGTCGAAGTGAACACCAGGGGTGACCAACATGTTAAGACTGGCAGTCACTGGGATACTGGAAAAAGGGCAGACACACGATCTGGGATAAATTTGAGAACTATGAGATGTGGTGGTTTGGGAGATTATGAGAATATTAAAGAAAAAGATAACCCTACTGAAGAAACGGAAGGCTTGGATAGAGGAACACTTAGCATACACGCAGGTTTCCAAAGCTGAAGGCAGAGGTCTTGCCGTATCTGAACTCAGATGGCCACAGAGAGACATCGTAGGTGACTACAGGTCACAGTTAGTGCCAAGTGGAGACAACGGCCCTTTTCCAAGTCTAAGCTTTGTCGTGGGTTCCTTCCTTTGCCTTTGTATTCAGAATTTCAAGAGCACGTCCAAACACCAACACCTCTATGAAGCTTTCCCGGATGCACACATGCTGAAGCAGGCGCACTCTCCTCGGCTTCAAAAGGTGTACACTCCTGTTTCACCACCACCACCACAGCCACCCACTGTGTCATGCTCTGCTTTTACACAAGCACCCTTCACGAACTGTCACCTCTCCTCTGTCCCTCTCTGAAGATGCAAAAACTGAGTTGTAGCAAAATAAGCTCAGGTTGATTCCGTCCATACCAGACTTTCACATTCTAGCTTTTGGGTTTTTGTGATGCTTGGATCAAAGCCAGGGTCTCACACGGCTCAACATCCTTGTACCACGTACTCCTCAGCCTTGTTTTGTTTTTGTTACTGTTTTTCTTTTTAAACTAAGCTCTGGACTTTGCATTGCACAAGTTTTCCCAATCTCATCTTTTTTCTGTTTTAGGGCCCAGTCCAGGCTTCTACATTGCACTCCGCAGTCTTGCCTTCCCAGTCAGTCTTTCAGCCGTCCAGGACCTTCACTGTCATAATGTGGAATGGCCAGAGTCCCGATGAATGTCCCAATTTGTATTTGTCCGTTGTCTTTCTCAAGTTATGGGTTTTCAGAAAGAACAGCACAAAGGCATCTGTGTCAGGGGTCAGTGTCATGTGGTCACTTTCCTCCCTCGCTTAAGCAGCGATACTGCCGTTAAGAGATGTCATTATCTCGAATTATCAGTTGTAGACTTTGCATCTCTTCTGCTGAGCAAGGGTGCCTGGAGAGATTACAGCCTCTCAGGGTACTTGCAGGTGAGCAGCGCACCTGTGACATGCTGGCTCCCTGATGCAGGTGAGATGAAGGGAAGGTGGGAAGAAGGCAGCTGCTGCGGCCGCCCTGCAGAGTACCCTGCACGCCTGGAAAGCGGGGTTCCGAGGGGCCGCTCCGGCTGTGGTGATGGTGAACTGTACAGCTTGGGGAGATCCCGTCCAAGAGCAGCAGGCTCAACTGGTTTGGCGATGGCCAAGAGCAAGACAGTGGACATCAGTCATGACATGTGCACTTAGGGGAATGACATGAAGTCTGGAAATCTGAGATCATTATGGAAGTTCTCAGAGTAAACCCCTAGAAGAGCCACCATTCAGGGAAGAAGGGAAGAAGGGAAGATGGGTAGACAAAGTGAGATACTCATGAGCGTGTAGTGAGGTCAGAACAGGCACAGAATCTTCATAGCACAGTGGCGAAATCAGTATAGCTGGGTCACAGAAAGCAAGCTGAAGAATACAGTAGTGACAAACTTGAAATATGAAGGATAGGGATAGATGACAAGCATTCTCAGTGACTAGCAGATCTGAAAAGAACCAGGTAGACTGAGAAGAAGGTAAAACAAAGAGATGACTGTACTGTTAAAAATATATGTGTATGAAGATTTGCAATTATAAAAATTAAAGATAAGAAATATGAACAAGCGTTCTAAGGCTTGAGATCGTCATGCACCGTAGCCTAAGTTTGGGAGAAGAAATAACACCTTGTAGACTATCCTCATTTTTAATCGGGCCTGAGGAGAGGAACGATGCAAGGAGTCAGTAGAAAACTGTGGATTTGGGTCAGGACAGAAAGGCCCAGAAGAGAACAGAGATGCGCCTACTCGAATAGCGGGCACTGTAAGAAAGGACAAGTCATCAAGTTCAGATGGCTTTTAATGCTTTCCAACCAGCAGCAGATGCTTCCACTCTTGCAGGACACCAGGATATTCCTTTACTACTTGCCTGCTCCAATGGGAGATTGTCACCCGGCTCCTTCATTTACATGGAGACACTTACTCAGGAAACAAGAAATTTCTACTTGCTCTTTTTCCCCTTTGGAAAAAACCATATACTTTCAAGTATAAAAGCAGTGGAAGGATGCAGAAAGGAACCAATTTAAAGAGTTTTATATCAGAAAATAATCAGAACCAAAAAAAAAGGGATTATAGGGCTGGGGATGTAGCCCAGGGGTAGAGCACTTGTCTAGCATTTGTGAGGCCCAAGGGTTCAATCCTCAGTACAGCATGCATAAATCACGAATCAATGGATGGATGAACGAATGAAAGTATTTAAAAAGTAGGGAAACCTTGCACAAATTACAGCAATATACTATCAAAATGTGTATCAAGATATACACACACACACACACACACACACGTATATAAACACAATGAGATCATATACATTGATTGAAAAAATAAATCTTAGCAATAAGATTAAGGTAAATAATTAATGAGATTAATAATTAAATTTAATTATTAAGACAAATTTACAAAAGAATGTAGGTGCGAAGTATATAAAATAAGTACTTAATAATTGTAAGTGTTTGGGGAAATATTAGCAGAAATGAGCATAGTAAATATTAGACCTTTTTAGAATTAAAAGGAATGGATATTTCAAAATCAGCAATTAATGTCTTACTAAAATGGTAACAAAATTAAAATAATTTCATTTTTATGAATAATGAAATAATTCTAAAATTAGTTTATAAAGAGGCCTGCTCCAATTTTTTTAATGGTAATGGGAAGTTGGAAATAATGTGTTTGTTCCATACCTAAAGAACAGCAGAAAACAATGTAACAGCAATGCACTGTAATATTATGCAGCCCTTCAAAATATTTGAAGAGTTATAAATGGAATATAAATGCTTATGACATACAATTAACAAATAAAAACTGTACATCTTGCTATACAATTACTTAGGAATATTACAAATGATTTCTGTTTTACCTTGCTGCCATTGCCAAATTTTATACAATGAGTATATGCTGGCTTTTTAATAGCAATTTTATGGCTATGTCACATGATTCTCCTACTCAAAGTGTATGCAATTCTTTTTTTTTTTAATATGTTCATGGAATTGTGCGATTCTGTGTATTGGTTTTGTAAACACAAAAGCTTAAATAAATAGATCTGTGGCTTATAGACATTCTCTAAAACATACATGCTTTCCATTTACGATGGATATAAAGCCCCTTTCAAGAACACCAAACAAAACAGTTCCAAGTAGCTCAGTCAAAGCAGAGGCAGGCGGCGAGCAGCATTGCCCTTCTCTGGGGACAGCGGCTTTCACTTATCTGTCAATGCAGGCCCAGCACCGTGGGAAGTCCGAGCACACCCTCACCTTGACAGTGTCTGTGGTCGGGCGTGGGGCCGTAGCCTCTGTGACAGGAGCACATGTAGGAGCCCTCAAGGTTGGAGCAAGAACCATTGGAGCAGACATTTGGTTCCAGGCACTCGTCCACATCTTGGGGAATGTTGCATAATGGAAAGAAAAACGGAGACAGACAAGACAGAAAAAGAAAACATGAATAAAGATAAATCTGGTTGAAAGGAAACAGTAGACCTCCAGAAGAGAGAGCAGACTCTCCAAGTGGCAGTCTGAAAGTAGGGTGCACACCGAAGAAGCAAATTTATTAATACGGAGAGTAACAACTGCTAGTTTTTGTCATGTACTCACTGCATGTAAGCGCCGAGGGCTTTCTACACATTATCTTGTTTAGCTGTAATAGAAGTTATATGGGCTTGTCGTTTTACAGAGGAAAGAAAACGGTGGTTGTGAGATTAAAATCCAAAGCCCATCCTTTTAATCTAGCAGTAAGTTTCCATCACAGGCAAAAACTACTGACAGTTCAATAAAGAGAGAATGAGTTTTATGTTCTTTTTCATATTTGTTAACACAGTACTTATACCAAAAATAAGCACTCAGGTTATCACGGATTTCATTCAACAAAATTCAGTCAGTTCCTACTGGAATATTATCATTCAAAAAGAAAAATGTGAATTCTCTACTCCATGTGAAAGCCCTCAGGTAAATCCTCCGTAGGCCTCAGGGGCAGACACTGCAATAGCATCAATATTCCAAAATTCAGGGCCGGGGATTCAGCTCAGTGGTGCTGCCATCTGCCTCACAAGCACAAAGTCCCAAGTTTGATCCCTGGTACCAAAAAATTCCAAAATTTAAACAGGAAAAACTCAATCCCAAAACAACAGCTCAGGCCACATCACAGTTTCGGCTAAGCCTCACCTTAGCCTGTAACACGACATCTTAATCATAAAGCAGAGAGAGGAAAAACATGAAAGGGAAAATGCTCTTGAACACATACATTTCATTTTAAACGCTCACTATGAGAGCAATACAGGCTTTTTATTTAAAATGTATTCTATCTCTTTTTTTGCGGTAGAATTCCGAAATACTTACACTGAAACATGCCGAAGGGGTATCAGTGTACGTGTGTGTTTTTTCACACAGAAAGAAGAGGCCAGGAATGGGCACTGCCTAGGTATTCCACGTTGCTTTCACAAAACAGCACTAATTATGGGGAACTGATCCCGGTCCAAGACAACAAAAATAGCATTTCCAGACTGACTCATTATCCACCCTTTCTTTGGTTGTGGGAACGCACTTTTGTAAAAGCTGAAAGCAAACAACTTTGAAAGAAGAAGCCAAGCACTGGAGCCAAAGTAAATAATGGAACAGAATGAGCCTAGACACTAGGCACGGAAATTCCAGACGGCAACGGGAAAATGTCATGTCTAGTATCTGGTTTGGTTTCAAAAATGTTAACAAGTTCAGAAACGTATGGATTGCTCCTTTAATTGTTCATGCACCAGAGAGAGTGACTTAGAGGGCTGCAGAATGTAACAGTGAAATCGGTTTCTAAGACCATATTTTCTTTAAAGTAAATTAACAGACAGTGTAGATGTCCCTTCGGAAGATACCCATAAAAGTCCTCTTGCTTGGCTACTGCTATGATGAATGATGAAACAGAATGCTGTGAAGTATCTAGGTAGTCTGAGGTGTTTACTCTTCTCTTCACTTAGGATAAGCAAAACTGTGTGAACCAGACTCATGCCAAGCCAAGCATTTACACGTAGAGAGAACAATCTGAACTGAGTGAGGACGTGGTCTTAATGGACGTTACACCCTGGAGGAAGCCTCTAAAGCACAACCTCAATAAAGAATTTCTACAAAGAAGGGAGAGGTCTAGAAAACTTCCACATATATAAACATTTAGATCAAACTTCTCTCCTAAAATGCATATCCAGCATGCAGCTGGCACTGGAGAGCCCTGTGAGATCTCACAGGTATCTCTGAGTTTTCACAGCTAAAACTGGTCCCTGCTCTACCGTTTCTTCACGTGGTTTCCCTTATCAATGCATGGGTACTACTGTCCCCCCGCCAATGTCCCACTCAAGAACTGAGTCACCCTCCTGAATTCCTTACTGTTCCTCTTTCCCCACACAAGTCACATCAATCTACCTTCCAAATCTCTCTCAAATCACCCACTTGATTTCATTCCTATTATTTCCATTTCCTCTTACCTGGACTAGTGCCATCATCTTTTAACTTGTTTTTCTAAGTCTTGTCATCTCTCTATTATCTATCATGCAGCCAGGATAAACTCTCTAAAATATACATCTAATCAATGGTATTGCTCGTCTACTTTTTAAAACCTTCAGTAGTTTCCAATTCCACTACTTTTAGTAGGGTTCTTCCATTTAGTCAAGGAGAAAAACTGTGGGGCCCAGGTGATAACAGAAGCAGACAGCCAGGCCCCTGTAGTTCTTATTTCTAACCCCTAGGAAGATCTGCCATCAATAAACTGGGAACTATGATGGTCTCTTCCAGCCCACTATCCACACCCCCATTGTCACCTCCCCTCTATAGCAGAGGGAGAAGATTAAATATTCAGTTTTCCATATTGGAGTTCAAACCTCATCTTACTCCAACATATGGTCTGACAGAATATTCACATCACTCAAATACTTCCAAGGTGTTTACATAATGAATACAAAAGGTCTTAGTGCTTTCTACCTCAGGCAGGAAACTTACCATGAATACTACTGTGTTCACAGAAAAATGGGTTTTAAACTTCAAATAATTTACCAGTGGGTCGAGAGGACATAATAATTTGGCATTTGCCAGTCAATAAATTAACTGAACCTCCTAGAGTAAGAAAGTTGCCAGAGGTTTACAAAGTCAGACTTTGTAGATATTTCAGTTCTGAAGTATATGAACCTATCTTACTATGCTATCACCCAGTCTAGACTGATCCTTCTCCTCTACAACCGAGGCATTTAAAAAAAAAAGCAAAAAAACACCAAAAATGCTGTGTTGAAAACAGAGACGCCAGGCTCCTGGGCTTTCTGGGCTGGCTAGATGGCCCTCAGAGAAGACAGAACAGTCTGGCATAACCGATCCATACTGAATCCTGGTTGACTGTTAGGATCATTTCTTCCTTTTAAAGATGGTTCACCTCATCATGATCGTCAGCATGAGGATCAGTGGTCAACAATTCCAGCAGAAATGAGAACACTAACCTCACTCCAGCTCTCTGGCAACTCTCCGTTCACCACAATTTCACAACCACGTCTCTCAGCTGGCCAGCAACCCCACCTTGCTAGTTTTTTCCTTGCCTTGGGATGTAATTCATGTGGGTCAGGAACTTTTTCAGCCTGTGGCTTCCTAATATCCTGGGAACAAACCAGGCTGCCTCAAGCCTCTCCCTGGCGGGCACGACCTACCAGGCACAGAGGATCTTCAGGTGCTGACTTCACCCAGTCATGTTCACATTCTCCCCAGGGTGTAAGGATGGCGCCTCACACTCCACCTTATCAGTTCCTTGGAGGTGAATTTGGTTAGAATTTGTTGCAAAGCAACAGTTTACAAGCATTACTTCCTGTGCTTGCAAGGAGATATGTCTATCAGCAATGTGAACCAATCGCTTCTTTGAGGTCATTCTAGCACAATGAGTTCCTCACTCACCGATACAGACCCCAGTGAATGAGGACCATGTGAATCCAGACCAGCACCTATCGCTACGTGAAAACACAGGATCACTGCCCACCACAATGTGCCATCGTGTCAGTGATTCCCCAACTGTTCTTCACACATGATGTCTTTTACTAAAGACGATGTGAGAACATATTTGACAGGAAAGCAAGCCTGGTAAAATGAGAGGCGGAGGCCGATCCATGTGATGAAGCAACTCCAAGTACATCTGAGATATAGTAAGTCCCCAGGGTCTCGGGCCCCTCTATCAGTTTTGATGAAGTTAAAATACAGAATAGCAGAGCTTCTGACAAAAGTCTGTTCTGCAAGCCATGAAGAATCATCACAGCTCTTCAGAAGTGGAGAAGAGCCAAGGCTGTGAACACCCTACATAAGGAGCCAAGGATGATCTCAGAAAATTCAACCCACTAATCCCACCAAATTACTGGCTTCCTAGCTCACCTTTCCAAAGGAACATTCTGTCTTTCAGAAGAACAGCTGCAATACCTGTGGTGTGGTGCAGATTTACCATTTCAAACTCTGGAGTCCCTGAGGCATTATTACCACTGCTTACAAGGGATGACACCCACCCGTGAGACACCCCCCCCCCGCTCTATGAAGTTTTATACAGCAGAGGTACGTGAAATACCACACAGAAGTAAACGCTGGAGTTCTGGATGAGACCTGGGGTTCTGTCCTGGTTTGGCCATTTATTACCAAATAAATGACCTTGAATGAGCCCATTCACCCCTTGGAGAATCAATTTTCCCATCTGTCCTGTCTGTCCTACGAGGACAATTACTGTGAGGATCAAATGAAGCGACCCAACTAAAGTCCTTTGCAAACTACATAATTAGCGGTGTTCATTACGGAAAGTATTCTTCCCACACAGGCATGGTCCTGCCTCCAAAAATGAGGTTCTATCACTGTTTTTTTCTATAATTTCAGGTCTTTTCTAGCATGTAGTAGACAGATAGTCAAATGCTCAATAAATTACCCAGTGACTAATTAGAAGATCCCTCTAGTGTATAATGACTCAGGGATGAGGTTGACGCTTGCACAGTCCACAGCAGATGGAGAAGGTTCACTGTTATGTTGGTGCTAGCTTATACAAAAATAAAGTCTTCGGGCCGGGGATTTAGCTCAGCAGTTCGGTGGCCTGCCTTGCAAGCGCAAGAACCCGAGTTCAATCCCCGGTACCAAAAAAAAAAAAAAAAAAAAAAAAAAAAAATCTACAATTTAAAAAAAAAAAAAAAAAAAAAAAAAAAGTCTTCAATTTCAGATAAGCCCATGAATATTCAAAAGTTCCATAAAGGGTGGTACTGAATCAATCTTGAACTCTGAAAATAAATCCTAATGTGAAAAGAATACCTAGAACAATGAGCTGTGTTTATCCTGCCAGTTCTCCGGTCCGGTTTTGGTTAAGAGTGCGGCTAGCTAGTTGTTAAATGGATTGAACAGTATTGATTTCT